AGAGTGAAGTTATAAAATCTTTTAGGATTTGCGAGGAGGAACCAAAATTGTCTACTTCTGTTATTAAAGAGTTTTAAAATGATGAAGTTGACGGTAAAGTGAATATTCGTGATAATGATCATGATAGTGGACATTTGTCTTTGGCTGATCATGATGAAACGGGGGAATGCCTACTACTGCTAAGTTGAACAAAGGTTCTGTACAACTTGAACGTGAAGTAGAATTAAATGCAGACGCAGTTGCAGAAGGCATGCATACTTGTCAAACCGTCAGTGTAATTGATCAGCATGTATCCCACCTATCATCAGGTGCTAGTGCCAAACCTGAGCTGATAGTAAAAGACAGCAGTGGTGGTGGTCATGCAGGTAGACAAATTTCTGAAAGGCGAGCAACAACAGCTTTTGATCCACTGCTAACTTCATCAACTGATATCAATCAGTCGTCGTTGGTGCTGTCATCCACAATGAAACAGACACCCATCAACTCAAGTATCTTGTGCAATGACTATGCTAGTATCAGTTCGTTTGAAAGGACGAATATCAATGGTCAGTTTAGTGAGGATAAGCCAAGTGTAAAGGAGAGAGTAATTGTTTAATTGACGTGCACGAATAAAGGCATTTCTAGTTTCAAGTTACTATTTGAATGCTATTATCTTTGGTGTAAATTACTCTGTTTCTATACTTGGTTGATGAGATATGTCGTGTGTTATTTCGTCATCTATATTCTACGATACAATGACATGGGCGTGTTGCCGTTCAGATTTGAGGATATAGCTGATAGAAGGAAGTTAGCAAATGAACTCTGCGACGATTTTCCAACCTAGAGCGTCAACCTGAGAAGGGTTGTAGGCGTACGGCTGTAAGTCCTACAATTCTTCAAAAGGTAGCGCATCAATGAGCAATCCAATGTGCTCGGTGTGTGATTTTGTACATATGTTCATATTGTATATACTGAATTGGTATCATCTGTCATCTAGCTGTTGGTAATTCTGTTTGTGTCCGGACGACTTCCACTTGTATCATCAACCTGAGAAGGAATGTAGGCGTACTGCTGTAAGTTCTACAGTTCTTCAAGGGTAGTTTGTCGTGTCAGAATCCACAATATTTGATGTGGTGATTGTACATATGTTTGTGTTAAATGGTTGTGTGAGTTCCAATCATTGTAATTATTGATTAATCTTGTTTGTGTCCGGACATTCCACAACTTACAATCGTCAACCTGTAAAAGGCTGTAGGCGTACTGGTGTAAGTCCTGCGATTCTTCAAGGGAATTACATCGAGACACGACAGACGAGGTTATTTGTATTGTTTGCATATACGTGTGTTGTGTCATATCAGTTGGTGTTTTTGGATTCTTTCTGTTTACTTGTTGTTTTCGTATCTTCATGTTATGCATATTTTTGTTAAATTTTCATCATGATTACTTCTGAAGTTGTTTCGAGTCTTCTACATCCGTGAATGAAGTGATTGATGTTAAAGGCAGCTATATAAACTGTTTTGTCCAAATGTCTATCCCTACCAGAACCCATCACTTTTTTCTAAAACGCATCAGTCATTAGAATACTAAAACGCTCAGACTCATTAATACACATTGTGACATTAAATAAACTCTAAGACTTCGCATAAATACGTGAAAACAAATACAATATAGAAAAATGTTTACTTAAGTATAATATACAATTAGGATAAACATTTATAAATGCATAATATATAAATGTCTTTTTCATGTTCACATACTTTCTCTTTCTGGTATTTTGCTGCTCCTATTCATCTTCTGGTCGAGGTCGAACAACCCTGCATCTAAACTGAAATGAGGATTAATTCCAAACCGTCTATCTCATAACCACTCAAATTCCATGAACAATCCAATTCTACCATTTGAAGACGCTGGCGAACATGCTGTAAATGAGTATTCATGATCTGAAATGAAGAAGCAACTGGTCTTCAAACAGTTTTCAACATTTTACTCAACTTACGAATACAGTCCGCCATGCAGACACAAATGGAGCAAATGGAGAATTCTGGAATCGACCTCGGCACCACTTGATGCAGTGAAACAACTTAATATGACCTTATCTAGTTTTCGTATCCACGATCAAATTTCTTTCCTGTTATAAAACTACGATAAGACTACTGAAAAAATGGAATAAATATATCACTGATCTCAACATAATACATCAATAATCTTTAAGCCAAAGGTGCTGTTCACAAGAAAGTTATATAGGAGAATTGACTTCAAGCTTTATTTTTCCCAGATATCTGTATTACATTCATCTGATGTCTGGGTTTTTTGTTAATGCAAAGACAATATTTCTATATCTCTTTATGTGCTACACAAACAAACTTTATAGCAGACTTTTACGGCTGACACTAATGTCAGAAGGAACAACCAAACTGTAAATACATTATACATCAAATTTTGTGTAATTTATATAATAACTTATCCATGCCTGTACAATTGGTATGTTCCTGCATAAACAGGAAGAAATATATATTATTACTCACTACCAGATGGGTCGTATACGCCGAGGAGGCTATTGCTGAGAACGACATGCATACGGAGATAAGGATTAGCTGTGGTCCCATACGCCGGAGAGGGGGAATGTAGACGACTGAGGCTTGCATACGTCACCGATACTAGAACTGAGGCAGAATGAGTGACAAGCGATTGCAGTGGTAATTAGTAGTGAGTAGAAACGAGGACGTGTCAATGGAGTTGAAGATTGAACGATCAATTCTTGGTTGTTTGCTTAAAACCAACTTCCCCAATTTTCGCGGAGGCATAAATCAGCCAGTCATCGTCTCATCGGTCGCTGTTCAGAAAGAAGAGTGAAACATCGTCAGAAGTAATACAATGATTTATTACTATAATATTTGTTTTCAGACCTTAGTTCGCTTATTCTTTTTATATGTTGGTGTAACAATAAAGAAATCTCAAGCGGCCAATCGGTGTTTTGGTTTCTTCGTCCGTTATAACTAAGCGTTTCTGAAAACTTCAAGGAACAGCGTGGGCCCGAGCGTAGCGAGAGCTGGGCATTAACGGTTTATGAGACGTGATTGACAGGACGTGCGTGGAGTATCGTGAGTTGGTGCTATGGTCACGTTGCATTCTGCAAGAGTCATTCTAGCAAGTGGCGATTGTGTTGCAAGATGTCAAGAGGAGGTCTCTGTCTGGAGGCGCAGGTCATCAGCGATGTGTGAGATTGTGCTGTGGGTGGTATGCTTGTGGTGTGTTGGCTTTTCTGTTTGTTTTCCATTTCAGCTCTGTCCGTGTGACCCAGGTTTTCGCAATGGCATCCAAGTCAACGTGTATTGGTCGTGATGGAAAAAAGGAATGGATCCGTATTTTGCCGGGGAGTGTCAATGTAGTTGAAGATTGAACGATCAATTCATGGTTGTTTGCTCAAACCCAACTTCCCTATATTTTCGCGGAGACATCGATACACCAGTCATCGTCTCATCGGTCGCTGTTCAGAAAGAAGATCAAAACCGTCAGAAGTAATATCGTGGTTTTTTGTTGCAATATTTGTTCATAGACCTTAATTATTATACGGGTTGTATGCTGGTGTTAGAATAAAGAATTCCCGAGTCGCCAATCGGTGTTTTGGTTTTTGCATCCGTTAGTACTAAGCGTTTCTGAAAGACTACGAGGGACAGCGAGAGGCCCGGCGTAGCAAGAGCTGAGCATTGACAGTTTTGAGACGTGATTAACAGCATCAATGTGTCCTAAGAATTTTGATGAGCTATAGAGATGTGTGGATAACTTCTTACTTCAATATCGCAATGCGGAGCATACAAGTACTCATGAAAGTATTGAAAAACTATTCAATTCTTTAATTCTCAGAAAGCATCTGATGTCCACGAATTGTGCTGTACATTATTACAGATGGAATGACTATAGACCATCCGTTGGAATCATACTACAAAAATAGGAAATCGAATGTTGAAGATATTAGAAATCGAAGATCATTCAGTTCATAACAGACACCTGGATCAAGTGAAAATAAATGAAGTAGGTCATTCCGATTATAATTTTTATGATTCCGCTACTAATCCTGATTTTGTAGATAATTCACAAATAAGTCCAGATGATACTGATGAAAATAATATCACAGAATCAGTTAGAAGATCGCAGAGACTGGCAGGCAATCCGCAACATCATTATAAATACGCAAGGAGACATTCGACGTGTGGCGGATGTGGTGATTGACAATTTCTATCTCTGTATTGTTTAAATAATTGCTGTTGCTTGTTAATATTTTTCTTATATGAATTGAATAATAATTCTGCCAAATACAAATTGCGGAATTCATACCTCTCTGTGCTTTGGTTGAATTCTTGTAATTCGGTCATCGTGGAATACTAATACTACTATTACAAAAAATTAAAACAAGTCTAAGAATAAATGTTATAACAATAAATCACGATTATACTTCTGATAGTTTTTTATCCTCCACTAAACAGCGAACAATGAGGCGATGACTGTTGGATTGAAGACTCTCACGAAAAATATGGAGGAGTTGGGTTTGAGCAAACAACCATGAATAGTTCGTTCATTATTCAACTACATTGACAGAAGACGTGAAAGCAACTCGAAGAAGCACATAATAAAAGCTAGAAGTACCACAATAGTGAAAGATCTGTGCAAGTGGTGCGTAGAATATAATAATAATAGTATATTCTCATTTTGTACATGAGGGACGCCAGTTTACAGGCATCATCAATATGATAAATTACATATACGATTAGCAATCATACTTAATAATAATGCTTTAATAAAATACACATTTTTTCCTACTTGTGTAGGACACACAAAATGTACAGGCATGGATAAGCATTATTTAAATTTCATAGATTTGGTTTATGGTTAAATTACATGGTTGCCGACGTTTTTGTCTTTGGTTTGTGGGAACAATATGATAACTAGTCATTCAATGGAGCACATCATGAAATATAGAAATATTCTCTTCGCATTAACAAAAAACCCAAGTATGTTTTGGATGGATTAAAAATACTTGGGAAAAAATAAAGCTTGAAGTAATTCCACAATATAACTTAGGTGTGTACAAATCCGAATCTGATTTTTGATTTATATCCAAACTGGGTAATAAGAAAGCTATTTTTACAGATACGATCAGTTATGTTATAAGTTACAATCGTGACGTTGTATTACAAATTGATACTTTCCCAATGGTATAAGAGTATATTCCACAAATGTAATCCAGGTTGCGTTGTGTGGAAAGTTAATTCGTTATTAACTAGACAAATGAAAGATACGGGACCAATAATGTTTGCAGATCATTTGTCATTGTAAATGGTCAAACATCCACATTATTCATTCTCATTCAAAAAGTCCAATGGAAGCTAAAATGGTGAGAGAAAAAAGAAGACAAACAACAGCAACGCAAAAGAAAGCAAGAGGAGTCCTTAAGGAGTGATTAATAAATATATACATATATATTCTGTCTAGTAACTATGCTTATTTTTGTTCACTAACTAACTAGTCCCGTTATGCTGACTTTTATATTATGTGTGAACTAATATTACTGTCCTGTGTAGAAATGTTTATCATCTAGTTCCAATAATATTAAAATTTATAATTGTGGTTTGTTGTAACTACACGTTTAAAGAACTTAAAATATCTATGTACGGTGAAAAAGAGGGTGTAAGAGTCAGGCGCAAAAGTGCATTGTCATCTTTGAGCAGTCTGGTGACTGAGGAGATGAACACTGGAAGTGTGTTTGCATCGCGCACATTAGCTGGAAGTCTATTCCAAATGACTGAAAACTTATTTAAGAAGAATTTTTACCGCACGTAAGTCTGACAGTGCTCCATAGCAGCTAGGTTGTGATGATTTCTAAGATTGTAACTGATGACAGTGGTAGGTTTAGTTATTGGCTCGGAGGAATGCAAGAGAAGATTGGTTAGCTTATAGTAAAAGATAAGGTTCAGCTTAAGGCATCTTTTCCAGAGTGGTTCTAATCTTAATCTGTCGCATCGCTCATGATATTCCAGACCACTTTCTAAACCAAGAGTTCTTGAGGTAAACTGCCGTTGCACTCCCTCTAATTTAAGCTTGTCATTTTGTCTGAGTCCACTAAGAATAAACGGGCAGTATTCTAAGATAGGTCGGACACATACTTTGTATAATAGAACCCTAGTTTCACAACAAAAGAAATTGCGTGTTATGCATCCTATCAGCCTTCGTGTTTTACGTCTGGCATAATCAGTCTGTTCAGTGAACATTAGGTTACTAGAGTATCTAATACCGAGATCTACGACTGAGTTGAGCTTAGCTAGTTTTCGCCCATTTATTTCAAGAATTAGATCAAGGTTACTGTTGCCGATACAAATCCAGCCGCATTTGTCAATGTTAAAGTTTAGACAGGATTCAGCACACCATGTTGCGAGACTACTTGTATTTTAGTAACCATATCGCTTAATTCATGAGTGTAGCAGGAGTAGACGACTTTGAGGTCGTTAGCATATAGAAATGGTTTACCTGAGGTGAAGCACTTGCAAATGCTGTTAATGTAGACTGTGAATAAAAGTTGCACGCAATTTCGCCGCATAGAGAAACCAAAGTGCAAATGAATATTCTTTTACCAAGTCTTTCGTCATCTGCCTTTGCAGTGCGTTTGATCCCTAATTGTCACTATTGTCTACTACATTCAACCACATTTTGTTATTATACGTGATTCATTCATTCATGACTTTATACTGTGAAGGCTGTCTGGATTCGCTACCCAGAGTCGTGTGAGGGATTGAAATCTATATTTAGTGCGAGTAATGTACAGATACCATAGCTAAATGACCTTGAGCCTACCAATTGAATCGCCGTGGTTTATAAAAGAATATCTTTCATAATCTTCGTTTAAATCCCACCCTGATTGTGGGTTGGGGTAAGGATAAGATTAAGGGTAGATCAGGTTTAGTGTTAAGGTTAAGGCTAAGATTAGGGTTGGAGTGAAAGTTAAGGTTTCGATGGAGTCTGCAACGAAGATTATGAGCAGCATTCATCTGAAACGACGAGCTATGTGACTATCATAATTAGATTACAATTATGGCAAAGTCAAGCATTCATCGGAACTAGTAGGTCCTATAACTAGCACCCACATATATTCTGTTGAAGGATTTTGGGTGCATCTAAAAAGCGGAATATAATACTATATGTCCGTGGAAAACTGAGACCTGCTCTTTTGGCATATGAGAGACATGTATCCTACATAATTCATTTTCATTAAATAAATACCTTGTACATATACTCTTTATCTAGAAACACGTGGTTGACCGGTTCAAGGGCATTTGGCTGTGGTATTGGCTTCTTACTGCCGTCCCATACTTGAATTTTAGGGAACGCTTTTCATTCAAACAATTTTAGAAACAAATTTTCTGCGAAAATATTCACTTTGCAGCATAATCTATAATTTTGACGTTATCGGTCATTTCAAGGTCTTAAGTGTACTCGCACGCTTGGACTATGGTGTAGTATATCTTTCCCTAATTGACACTGAATTATAATGCAACAAATAAGCCCACTTAAACATTAAAAGGGAAACAGATTAAATCATTCGGTCAACAGAAACATATCTTCTAAGATTTTGTTTTCTTCTTATCATCATGTGTACACAAATGAAGAGTAAACGAAAAGACAAAGAATAAGTAGAAGTAAGGATTGAAATCATTTGAATACATTAGCAGTAATAATAGTACCAGCAGTTTAAAAATACTCTCCAGTTACTCATTTATAATCGGAAACCATGAGAGTATTGAATTCAGTGGTTGTTCAATAGACAACTTGTCATAACAATCAACTAGCCAATCAGAGTAGTTGATGAATAGCGGTCTCTTTAAAAAAAACTATTGACCAATCATATTTCAGTGAATGCTTTTACAAAAGAAAAGTAACAAAAATGACTGAGAAACCGAAAAAGATAAAAGGAAACAGCAGTGAGTGTATCAAAACAATTCAGTCAGATAAAAGATACAAACAGACATCTGAATTAATAGGTAGATGGGTGAACAAAACATGTCAATGGAAAGGGGAAAAAGATATGAAAACAGAAGAAGTAAGAACATTTAGTAGTCAAATGTTCTAAATGAAATCTCTATTTTTGTTATTTATTTATGATTATTATTATCATCATTATTCCTGCTGTTGTTATGATCATCATCATCATCTTAATAGGCATTCATCAATCTGCCTTACCGTGTGCAGTTCACATGTTATTACTTTTATTGGATCGATAATTACAACAGATCACACTGTCTTCTGTTTCACTCTCTGCCTGTGTATATTTGTTGATGTATATGTTCCCATTCAGAGAATGCACCTGGTCAATATGAGCAAAACTTGGCTAAGTGGATAATTTTGATCAGCAAAAAGTTGGTAAAAAGAGGGTGAAATGCTACATAATTAACCCTTGTTTGCCCATATTGGCCACTGTTTTCCCCATTTGTCTATGTCCCAGAAAGTTTATTTGTTCCACTTTTTCCCATTTCACTCACTTTTTCTTACTTTACCCAATTTCGAACAGAAAAATGCCCAAGTATTTACCAACATATCCCATGTCCAAAAAAATTCACCGACTGGGTTTGTATATATAACAGTCCATTCGCGAGGTAGGCACCAAAATAAACAACAAAAAAAAATAGGAGGTTATGATGGAAAGGACAAAAGAATAAGAGGCGATGCATTAAGAAAGGAAGAGAAGGATAGGACGAGAGTAAGTAGGTGACGGACTGGTTGAGTGAGTGGGTGAGTGAACACAGGTTATTCGCCACTAAAATGTCAGTTTTATACGATGTATATATGTACGCATGTCTGTGTAACTAATGTTTATTGAGCATTAATTTGTCACACAGTTAACTTTCTCAACACAATATGAGTAACAATGTAGATAAAAACTAGAAAAAAAACACAGGAAAGAACATATCACCTTGGTTTGTTTCGTGTGTTTATGTGTGTGTGTATGTGTGTGTCATTCAATGCAGAAATCGATTAGTGTTATTATTATTATTTTCATGATCATATCTAATGAAATTATGACATTAATAAGTTTATCAGTAAAGAAAGAATTAGTACATGATAAGATTATGGGAGTATTATTCACATGGACTAGTCACACTCTCATTTGCTTCAGCACTTGTTGGCCATGGAAGTAATCGTTTACTGGAGACTGGTGACTGAAAAATAAATTGAAAATATTTTCATTTATTAGAGAAAAAAAACACATTTTGATGATAGGTAGTTAAAGGTGTTATAAAAAAATGATTTTAATGAGGTCATTCCTAAGGTTGTTTATATCATATTTACTATTTGTTAAGCCCTGTTATTCGCAGGAATCTTGTATGCGCTCGGAGATTTGATTGTCTGTCTTTCAGTGCTAAAAATAAGCACGTTACTTCTGAGGTACTTAAGTTGTGAGTGATTTCTCTGAAAAATGGATAGAAATCAGTTTTTTATGTGAAAGTTCTAGGCATCTAATATAAGATCGTTGACCAAGCAATGTGTCTAGATACATAATTTTTTGCTAAGTGATGTGATATCCAATGAAGTATGGGATAAGTTCAGATGATCTGTTAATGACTGATAACGTTGTATCGTATTCAATTAAAAGATAGAAAGTGATTACTGCACTGTTAAACATTTTACAGGTTAATCTGTCTACATTTAATTTCTACGCCATATCTTCTCATTTCTGTTGAAATCTGAGGAGCTATGTCTCCATTAAGGATGGTGCAGAAATTATGTGTCTTCATGCTTACTTTTGTTTTCATTGAAAAAAGGCATATCGGCTGACTGTCTTCTCGAAGGTTTCTACCAAGTGGCTTTTTGATTTCAAAGAAGAATAAGTTTATTTCATCTATACTCCGAAGATTGTCTCTGTCTGTCTTCGACACAGAACTTTACACAAATGTGCGGAAGTTCAAGTCGCCACACTCCGTGTAGCACGCGAAGCAAGAGAAGAAATTACAAGAAAAGCAGAAAACAGTGAGCAGATGTGTGAGACAAAGGAGTAATAAAGAAAAACAAAACAGTTTCATTGGAGATCATAAGTCACAAGGAGTGGATGCATCTGCGCCACTGAGAACGATTTTGAGCCATGTCACCAACTGGGGTGTTTTTACTCGGCTGGATGGTAGCTCTACACCAAATACTTTCTCTTTACCGAGCCCAAGACCTGACTAACCATATATATATATATATATATATATATATATATATATATATATATATATATATATATTTATATGGTTATATCGTCTGTTCAGAGTATTTGTTGAAGTTATTAATCCCAGTTTTAAAATAAATACGAACGATTTTCAGAATAAGTCCATCATCCATGGTCAAAATCAGTATTTCTGTTATCTAAATCACTTTATGATCATTATTTTTTTTAGTGTAATACCAAAAGTGTTCCCCTTACAATTAACCAAAATCATAAATTATGGTCATTTGGTGGGATGTATTTTCAAGTAAGTTGAAGAATCGCTATATTTCTCACATTTATTCACAGTTACTATCTATGCAAACAAAATTACCTGTATACTCTATCACACCGTCCATTACTTAATACTCTACACAAATGGCGTATTTAACGATGAACACGTGTAATGCGTTCAACTTAAAGTGACTGTCAGTTGTATAATCAAGAAAAGGCCTACTTTCGAAGATCCTCACTTTTGATATCCCAGTGAATTTGTTAAGCGACTACTTGGTGTCATCAACAAACATTTTCAAAATATTGACTGACTCATTGATTTTAGTCGTATAGTTTTAACTGATATGGTGACTCTAAACTAATAGCAGTCCAAAACAGGATTACCTAGTGAACGGATTAATGTGCCCTTGAGCAACCAGTTAGATGTGTCCGTAGTGCATAGGCGGAACTATGACTGTTGTACACGAGTTACGTGGTAAATTTCATCCAAATCTAGTATTTAAATACTACTTAGATAACAGGCTCATTGGAAGGAAGAAACCGTGTAGCCAGCTGTCGTCCCTGGGCTATATTCACGAGGTGGTCAGCCATATGGAGGACTTCGTTCATTCTTTTGATGGGACACACAAATTTCATCGAAAGTTTTTATAGTCACTTAAAAAAAGAAGATCAGAGAGGTGAATGGGTCAAGAAACATGATGTCTGACAGTTATCTCGACAAACTATGAATGCTCCTATGACAAATTGGGAGGTTTTCCTGGAACATATATATAAGGATGTTATCTCATATAACTACTTTTTAATATTGCATTACTTGTATGCTGACGCTTTTTTTTAAATCACATACTTCTACTACAGTCGATGAAGATGTGTCAAGTTTTTTATTAGGTAGTTTTGTTTTGAGCAGCTATAGTTTAGAGTTACCGGTGATTTAAACAAATTGGCCAATATCTCTTTTATTGTTTTCTCTTCAAGTAAGAAGAACTTACTGATTTGAAATAGGCGATTTCATTGATTAAAACATACAAAATTAAAACGTTTCGACGGTACAATAGAATTCACTTCTAATATAAGTTCTTATTTCTCTTAAATATATTCATTTAAGACCACTATTGATGTATGTGCATATGAACAAAAGTAGGCTAGACTACTAATGCCGCGAGAGTTGATCAATTTCAAGACAACCTACCTACCTAAATTCCATAAGTAAAACTTACAACTATTTCACTTTTATCACCTTCTTGTCTGTTGCTTGAAGATGTAGACTTTGAAGTTGTATCCTCATCTGTATTCATTGGTGTAATTTGACTACTTCGTCTTGGCGGTGGTGTTGGTGCCGTATAACCAAGCTCATTTGTCTGAGAAAACTCTGCATTATTATTCATACTTGTCTCCAACTTTGATTCTCCTGTATTAGCCGAATTCATTAGATTAGATGATTTAACAGGATTGTTTTTACTTTGTGCATTTGTTGGGAATTTTGATTCTGAATTGATTGTAGTTGTGGTAGCTTTTACAGAGGTTGACAGAGGTGTCGTTATTGCTGTTGCTGTTGTTGTTAGTGGTGGTGTTGCTGATAATCCTGACTTTGGTATGATAGTCTTACTAGTACGTTCATGTGGTGATTTCGAACGAGAGAATTTATCTGAAATACCACTCAGTCTATTATTTATTGGCGATGAATTTGATCTTTCTGTAGGTGGTACTTTATTTTTATCTAATTCTGAATCATCTAATGTACAATTTAAACGTACCACTTCAGAACCATCATCTACAGTGACTGTTGTATTGAACATAACACCTCGTGTACCACGATTGCCTATACGATTACGTTGTTTCGGTGAATTCGAACTTTGTACACCACTAGAAGTTGAACTTTTAAGTATACTTGTTGGAATTACTGTAGGCTGAATATTTTCCAATGTACTATCACTACTTTCATCAACCATAGATGTTACACTTTCTGGATTGAAACCTTTACCTGAATAATTTATTCGGCTGTAATCATGATTCATCGAGTCAATTGTACCTGTTGTTGTTGTTGAACTTAGTGAATCATCAGAATAATGAGCTAGTGGTGCACGTTTCTCTTCTCTAACTTCTGTTGGTATAGTTTGTGGGATATTTGTTGTTGGTATTTTATTTTCTTTAACTGGTATTGATATTTTTTCTGGTTCTCCGACTGTATTTTCTTTTGTTTGTAATGATTTCTGATCTATAAGTGGTGTAAACAACAGTCTATTGGTGGATATATTTTCATTTGAGAAAACTCGTCGTTTTTGAACAGCTAACATTTCTTGTTTCTAAAAATTAAAAAAAATAAAAATAATGCGTTAAATTTTATACTACTTATATATGCTTTAGTAGTTAAATTAACTGTCCAGTAATTAGACCAGGCATCAGGCAATTTATGTGATCACTACAAGATTGTCAAGACAAATACAAAAAAGAGTTGGAAAACGGCAATAAAGAGCATCCTACGGCGATATTGGTTATTATTTTGATATTAATTAAGTTAATCTGGAATTATCAGAGATAAAGTGTCTTAATTGTAGTATCAACAAGGACCGGTTTATTGAAGTATATTGCCTGTCATACGGTCTACCTCCTAATACGATCCCTATCTACCTGTCTACAAGGTTGATCAAAAATCACTGAATACCGCACAAGACCTCTTTATCCACTCAAGCCAGCAGTATGCCGACACTGTTACATACACCAAATCTTGCTCATGTTAGCAATTAAATTAAATATAGCTACAAAATAGTGTTTTAACTCACCCCTGGAACCTTTTGTGTTTCTTGTTCCTAAACCTCTGGAGGGCTATTGGCTGTTAACTCTTTAAAATTGTCAGCGAATCTACTACTTTTCTACATCATTTAAAACACAAATTTTTCATCTCTTTTGGGACTTATCGGCAGTACACACCCACCCTCAGGGTTCGAACCCAGGAGCTGATGGTTACATGGCGTGCTTGTAGACCATTCAGACACCGGGACCTGACTTCTTAATGGCCAGCCCATGGATTCTAACTTCTATCAATTTGTGATTTTAGCGCCACTGACACCAGCCAATGTCATTGGCGAGCTTTAGTCCTCACTCCTGACAGGATGGACCGCACTGGTCACGACTTCTCACTAGAACTTCACTGAGTTGGGTCCCAGTGGCTGAATGGAATTCGAGCTCACTTTGTAACAGGAAGCTCCTGGGTTCGGAACCCGGTGAGTGTGTAGTGACGATGGGTTCCAAACTAGGATGAAATAGCTATCGGATACTCCCTGCGGTCGGTTTTCACTGGTTATCTATATTATCTCAATCTGTGATAAAACTTGAAATTCGGGGATATCTTCTCTACTTTCGCTTGCAAGGCATGATCACTCCTCCCCATTTAAGGGTAAATTAGTACACAGTATGAGATATTTCCTAATCACTTGTGCAATGTTGAGGTTTGTGACAGATCATGATTTTGAAATTTTTCCCCAGTAATCATAAGCCATGCGGCATAGTAGGATTTTTAGACGACCGGATTTAGTCTGTCTTAACTAACAGGCTACATACTACTCTTGAAGGTGGTTCCTTAATCGATGGGATTTATTATTACTAGTTCAAGGAGTTAACTTATCAGTTTATTTTATTTATATCTTTCATTTCTTACGTTCCTTGTGGAACAAAAAACTTTAGTCTCTGAAGTTTGAGTAATCATGATATAGCTAATTTTACCCTGAACTTTCCATATTTTCCACGTTTAGAATCAGCTGGAAATAGTAGGTTTTAGAGTGTGTCGACCGAAAATCAGACTTGAACCTCCTGAGTCTGCCACCGGTGAACCATCGAAGTACACCTAACAGATGGTTGTAGGAAGTCGTCAGGAAGCCTTGGACCTAGATTTTGTCCTTGTTGGCACTGAGCTATACAGGTTCAATGGTAACTTCTCTGACTGCAGCACTGAGTGATACAGGTTTCAATCTCAAAATGGAAACATGAGTCCCTTCAAGGTCATAGATACACCTTGCTGACTGGTGCGTCCCAAAAAACACGAAACCTTGGGGTGTTGCTTCCTGCCGATTGCCTCCTACCATCTAATAACAAAAAATCAGGGTGCACTGTGATGTCAAGCCACTTACCATGATGACCGCAAAGCAAACTTGACTGATAGAATTCAGTCTGTACCAAACAAAGGAATAGGCACATAACACTACTTATTTACTAGTGTCCAATTAAAGCATGGTAAACAACACTTGACATCGATGTTCACGTCCTGAATCGGGGTCATGAGAAAAACAATAACAAAGCTTAGCCTTGAGAAAGACAACAGCCAATCACAACAGACTTAACGTGTGCAAATAGGATTCACGGATATATGGCCTAACTTTCTGAGAAGCGGTCACAAGCAGTACACAATAACCTTGAGCAAGAAAGCAACCAATAAGAAGACATTGCTTCTCTGCTAACAATAACGCTAATAATAATGTACAGTAAACGGTCTTCTGTCGTTACAAAAGAATACTCACTAATCGAAGAGAAAAACACAAAAAGGAAAGATTCAATATGCACTAACTTTAATAGCTTGTAATCTCTTTTCAGAATCTGGTTGAATAGCCTGTACAGCTGCATACAAACGACTCCGTTCAATACTACCACGATCAGCAGCTGCACGATTAACAAAACCACCAAGATGAGTGAAACGTCTTGGTGAATTGGAACGTTGACGATTTTGTACATTTACAATGGCAAGTCTAGGGAAAAAAGAAGAACAAAGAAAATATGAATAAAAAGTTATTGGTTTGAATCATTATTTTTGAATTTCCCGTCTTTTCGTGAAAAATCATCAATCACTGTAAATTCAGGTTCATTCCATTGACGAGTACTATTTAGGACGAAACACACATCCTTCATTTCACTGCTACCTACCATCAACAAAGTAAGTAGAAGTTGTCAGATGAAATTTGTTAGAGAAATGTAGGATTCAGAGGAAGTTGAAACATTTCAGTTCTACAACAATTGTGGAAAGAATACTAAAAATACAAGTCCAATTACGAATCCATTCTGGAGTCCACTTAGCTATTTTCGGATACTTTAATTATAGGATATGTAGGGATTTGAACAAGTTTAATTTCAATTCTTAGATTTCATCACTAAACAAGATCATTTTGAGAGAAGTACTGGACAACCGTTTCGCCCTACTTTAGGTCTCTTCAACTGTACTTATATAATCTAAATATTAACTTAAAGCTCCCTGATGACTACTGGATGATTGTCTTGAAGTTGTCGAGAGAATTCATAGCTATCAAAGTACGCTATTTCAAGGTGAATTGTCTTCTCATCGAAGGTATTGATTGATGAGGATAGGGCTACATCACGAGCTGACAACAGTTGAATTCAAGGGTCATTGAATTCTGTCTCAAGTGACTGAATGGTCAATGAGCTTGGTCTAGTAACCTGAAATTTCAGGTTATGAACCCTAGTGGTAGTGTTGAGGCTATACACTGCTGAATACTCCCAAACTCGGATGAAACAACTGTCCAGTACTCCACGGTTTTCAGTGATCTCTATAACTGATGCAAGTTCGTGACGATTATCTAACATTAAAAATATTTTTTTTCGTCCCCCAGGTATTTCACTAACATTAATAGCCTCTTTATCGACTCTTTTAACTTCTAAAAATCGATAAAGTGGACAAAAACTGACCTTGACAAGTGGTTAATTTAAAAATTACTATGGTAATTGTGTAGTTCTCACTTATCTGAGTTAATCTCTTGTGTCTACTTCTTTTTTTCCCTCTTTTAGCTACCTTCTCTCTTCGCCTTTTAGGGGGTTTTTTCTATTCCCTTTGTCGGTCCACTTAATACTTGATATAATCTATAATAACTAAGTCACTTTTTAGCTTTATGACAAATTTTGTTTTCTGATTTTATTATTGTACTACTTATTATTTATTTCTTACCCTCTTATTATAATTTTAGAATTTCTCTGCTCTCTACTCTACTCCCCAAAATGCTCCACTCCGCCTCGTCCCACCATGCCAACTGCATTACCATTGTATATACTTTTGACACTCGTTATCTTATCAGATTAAGCTTGTCTCAGTTTTTTTTTCCTATTTTACGCTTGCTTAATCTATCGTGTTATATAAGTAGTATGTACATACTGGTGATTATTATTTAACTCATATTGAATTTTATGTCCATTTTAGACTGTTTGTTATTGATTTAAAAAGAGGGCGGGGGTGTTATGAAGTATAAAAAAAAGAAGAGCACAGTTAAACGTTTAAAAGTTTGTTGTCATTGTTGCTGTAAAAGTGTTATCAAAGTGATAGAGATGACAGACGCAGGGATGGTGATTAGAAGTGGAAATTATGAGCTGTTGGCTGATGACAACATTTCCAATGAACATTGTTTCATCCAGCCTGTTATTCATCTATATATTTAAACAAGTCTCTAGCTAATGAGTCTTGAAAATTGTCTAGAACAGCCAGCCAGTCAACACCTATCCTCCGACAAAACTAGAAGCCTTAAATGCAATCAAGCTATTGAAAGTCAACCAGGATGGCAGTAGGACAGGATGGAATTCTCCTGAAGCAATGAAAACATATGCACAGACTGCAGTTGATGTGTTCACGCGCCGCTATTACAAAATGTTTGAAAAGAAGGAAAGGTGACTGCTGATTTGAAGAAAAGTAGCCTTATGAAACTAGCAAAGAAGGGTGACTTAGGCGCCTGTGTAAGAACGACAACCAGAATAATAAGTTGTATTATCCTAGAGAGAATAAAAGATGCTCCGGATGGAAAACTCAACCAAGTGGAACAAGTTAGATTCAAGATAAGCAAATCGTGTGCTGATCAAATTGTAAATCTACGCATTATCAACATCGTCATCATAGAACAAAGCATAGAATGGCGCTCAAACCTATGCCTTAACTTCATCAACTTCGGAAAGGTCTTCGACAACTTTGTCCGAGAAGTAATTTGGAAACTACTTCAACACTACGTCGTATAGTGCCCAAGTCTTTATCTACTTCATTCAACAGATGGTTATAATCACAATGGCACGTTTCAGGTGATCCTCTAACGGAAAACTCAATGAAGCTTTTTCAGTGAACACAGTAGTAAGACAAGGTTGTCTACTATCACCAATGGTGTGCCTAATTCTGGTGGACTTGAATATGTGTCAGGCGGTGGGAAGCGATGAGTTAAAAATATGCTGAACTACCAATAAGAAGACTCTAGAAGATCTAGATCTCGGTTGTGGATCATATATGTCTTATGTCACACAAACTCGAAGACTTACAAGCAAAAAGCAACAAAATGGCTGAAAAAGAGAATGGCGAAGATATGAGTCCAAATTAACACAGATAAGATGGAGGTTGATGAAGATAACGACCACCATCACCAATAACAGCAACAACAATCAGCACCAATCCCCACTCCAAAGGGAGAGATCTAACAAGGTTTACTTCCTTAACTTATCTAGGAAGCACGGTGTTAACCACAGGTGGTCGTAACGGATGAAGATGCCAAAGGCAAGATAGGCCATCATCAACCTGAAATCAGTTTGGAAATCTTCCGTATCGCTCACCAACATAAACAACACGATTCGGATCCCATACAGTACACATTTGAAGTCAGTCAGTCAGTCAGTCATTTCTTCTATACGGGTCACAAACTTGGCCAACATGTCACGAAGAGGATTTCCAACAAGTTACAGAATTTTATCAACAACTCCCCCACTTCATTGGCTCCATACTAAAGATCGAATGGCCAATAACAAAGAATTAGAAACAGGAAACTCTGCAGTGGGACAAACCAACCAAAGAGCCGATCGCTCAACAAATATGTGTGAGAGGCAATGGAGATGGGTCAGAAAAACGGTGAGCAAGCCATCGAATGGACTCGCGCGCAATGTAGCCCATGGTTCGAGTGGAATTCGAATGGGGCATGACGAATGGGTCGTCGGTGAAAGGGTGACACGAGGAAGATGGTTTGGTGAAGAGGAGATGAGGGAATATGGGCAGTCGGAGAGCTAGCCAACTGAAGGAGACAGCAGAGAATAGAAGAAAGTGGAGGTGTGTTGTTGAAGCCTTATGTTCCAATTGGAACCCAAAAGAATAATAATAATAATAGAAAGCTGTCCAGCTAAGATTAAATTTCACCCCCATTTCAAACAAGAATGGTAGGTGGTTGCTTAGGCATAAAAGAGAGTTTTAAATAGTTTCACACAATGAAATACTAGCGGTGTCAAATGTGTTACGTCCCCTTACTCCAGTCATCTTTAACCAGACTTTAGTTGTGAAGATAATGAGACGTTTTATTCTGATCACTTTAATCTTAGCCCCTGATTTTTTTGACTGGAGCAATACAGAATCAAATCTCCTGAGTTTACCGATTATCCATTCTGATGACTAACGCCATCAGATAAGGATATTGAATTTAGGTGAACATATAGCTTGACACCTAATATCTGACATTAAACTCAGTTCATTGTTGATTCAAACAGTCGAGTTCGGTGTAGCGTTGGAACATCTGAATGACAGAGTTGTGTAAGCCACTCATAACATGACAGGTATCATTCCGTAATTAACTGGGGTATGTATCAGTTAGTCGTACCTCAGAAAATGGAGACTAAAAGGAGATTATACGATAATCAGAGTTTGTGCATAGCCAGCCATTTAACGACACACTACCCATAATCTTAAGTGCGGCTTTTCCTATATATATATATATATATATATATATATATATATATATGAATTCATAGTCGTAAAACTAATATAATGGTTGGACAAACGTTTTCTGTATACAGAGTTAGGGGTTGTATTGACTCATTGCCTGCACCTCCACCATACACAAAAGCCGAAACATGACGTTTTTGTACCATTTGGCCTCACCTTGTAGATTACCTTGAAAAACGACTCTGATGGAGCTGTGTGGCTTGAGATCACCAAGTGCTCTAGAATTGAGCCATTAACTGTCTTACATTGTTCTTTTGCTGACCATGCCAGATAAAGTTCAGAGATGCGTTTGGAAAATGTGCGCTTTGTGCGACCAATATAACTAGCTCCACACGAGCAGGTGGATTTATAAACACACATTGAGATGGCCAGTCCAAAGCGGCAGTATATCGTGTACGCATACATTGATCATTTGTTGACTGTAAAAATTGGTCCCTAGCTCAGCCACAATGAAATCTTTCCTCAATGAACTGCATAAGTGACACCCTTTGTACCATTTGGCTTCGATGGGGAACTGGAGCGACTAAGACAAGATATCCTCCAAGATTTATTGAGAAAGTCATGAAATTAAAGCAAAAACCTGAAAGAACCCAGACAGTACCGAAGAAACTGCTATTTATGAGCGTTGAATTTAAAGGTGATAATGCAGGTGAGATCCTGAAGAATTGCTTACGCAGATCTCTGAGGAAAGCCTTCTTTACGGCTTAGCTACGGATGAACTTCTACAGCTGACAAATGATCAATGGCTGTATGAAGGATAACCTACTACTTTGGGTCACTTCAGTGTTTGCTTATGAATTCACCTGCTCGTGTAAAGCTAGTTCTATTGGTTGCACAAAGTGCACACATTCCAAACGCATCTGTGAACATTATCGGACATGGTTTGCAAAAGGACAATGCAAGACAAACAGATTACGTCCATTGTTGGCTTGTTGCCTGAACAAACTTCTTTTGTATGCAGAGTTCAGGATTTAACATGTGAATTGTAATTGCTTCTGCAGTTTGAAG